ATGGATGGATGGATGGATGGATGGATGGATGGATGGATGGATGGATGCATGCATGCATGGATGGATGGATGGATGGATTGTACTTGATAACAAATGTATTTAGTAAAACAGAAGCACACTGTGTAAATATAATGATTATGAATTTAATATATGTAATATAATGATTATGAATATGATGAGATTGTATGCACTGACCAGTATAATTCCAGCCTTGGCTGAAGCAAACTGAAAAATGATCCATTCATATATGTTTGGGCTCCAAACTCCCAGTCGATCACCTCGCTTCAAGCCAAGAGCAAGCAAACCTGCAGCTGCTTTATCAACCTGAACAAAACAAAATTTTAAGCAATGCTTTAGCACGTACAAAAGCTCATTCTATCAAGCCACGAAAAGGATGTGTTAAAAACATCCAGTCTGACACTCACATCCTGCTGAACCTCTGCAAAGGTTTTACGGATGCCATCTTGCAGAAAGACCACAGCTTCGCGGTCAGGACAGCGTTGGACTGTAGCATCCAGGCTCTGTCCCACAGTAAGGGGCAACAAAGAAACAGAGGAGGTACCATGGACATAGCTTGTTGAGATTGATGGTTTTTGAGGGGGGTTGTCCACGTGAAGAGACCTGGAATAGAAGACAATATTCAGAGGGTGAACGCAGCACATGACTTGTCTTTCCAGGATGATTGTAGGTTTGTAGGTAACACCCCACAGCCCTGTCATCTGGATTTATGTAGTTCTTTGTCACCTGCATTACAAAGTATTTGCACTGTTGCATTGCAAAAGCAAATTGCTCTAGATTTCATTCTGGCTCCTCAAGGGGACATATGTCAAGTCATCAGTTCTCAGTGCTGCACATAAATGCTGCACATACATTCCGATGCATCAGACAATATGACATATGTTATTTGCCTTTTAAATGATTTTCATTCAACCTTTATTTATACAGGTTAATCCCACTGAGCCTCGGGGACTCATTTACAAGAGAGACCTGATTTTAACAAAGAGTGATGACAACAGTGGACAACAAAGATATCAATAGACAATCATAAAGGATGTGTACAAATTGAGAATTTATTTATTTAATTATTTTAACAGGTGAAAATAAAAAGGTATTTAAAAAGAAAAGTAACCAAAAAAAGCTAGGTTGTAGGGTGGTGTAAACAACTAAAAAACAAGAACATGATTGCAATGGGTTTTCCAAGGAACTTAAAAGATGTTTAAAGCCACTTAAGCTATGTTTATATGGACATAAGTAATCGGATTAAACGGCCATTCGGAATAAAAATGCATCATGTAAATGCCCCATTTGGATTGTTCTGAGCTGATTCAACTAGATCCGAATGAATTTGTAATCCGAATGAGAGGAGTGGTTTATGCCGATTCATAATCTGAACAGTGTGCATGTAAATACGTAATCTGATCATTTTATTCCGATTGTGGAAAACTAACCTGACTGCGCATGTGTGACCTATGTCAACCTCATGTATTTATTTCCGCCTAGCTAGATGCTAATGTGTTGGATCAGTGAGTGATGCAACATTTCTACTAGAAACTTTGAAAGAGCTCAGAAATATCTGTATTACCTGTAGCTCAATCAGGGAGTGCAGCAACATCTCCATCGTCATTAAAAACCTGGTGCAGGTCCATTTTGGGCACTCAGGTTTGTTTACGTTCATAACAGAAGTAGAACTTCTTCTTCTGCTGTGTTTTAAGGTAAGTTTACCACTCTGCGCATGTCAGTACTTCTGTTCAGAATAAAAGCCTGCTGCATGTAAATGTTTGTCATGATCGGATTGTGCCCATGTAACAACAATACATTTGGATTATTTAATCTGAATACATTTAAATCTGATCAAAGAATTGTGAGCATGTAAACATAGCTTTAGAGCGATTTAGGTTGAGAGCTTCAAATCTTTTTGCAAGATATTCCAGAAAACAGGAGCAGAGTAGGAGAAGGCCCTTTTGCCATGTTCAGTCCTCACAGAGGGACCACTGCATGTAATAATGTCCTGAGAGTGCACGCTGTAGCTGCACTCACGCAGTGACATAGGAGGAGATGTATGAAGGCAACAGACCAAGAAGTGATTTAAAGATGAAAATGTACCAGTTCTGAATCTTAGCGCACCATGATAGACAGCATCCAACATCTGCAGGGTATAGAGGATGGAATGTGACAAAATTAAATAAGTAAATATATAATAATGTAATGTATCATTTAATTATTAAAACATAATTAAATCATTAAAGACACAATTAAATTGCTTATTTTATGATTTAATTGTGTATTTAATTGTGTAAACTTTTTTTGATTAATTGTGTAAACTTAATTGTGCATTTACTGATTTAATGATGTATTTAATAATTAAATGATACATTTCATTATTATGTATTTATTTATTTAATTTTGTCACATTCCGTCCTCCACAGTAACAGACCCTCTGTTAGCAAACCCACTGACTCCAGGAGGGAGATGTTCTTGTGTTGTGTAATCCAAGTAGCTCACATGGGGCATGGAACTCTGTTTATAGGTGAAGTGTTTATGTGAGGCCTACTCTGTTTTCCATCCTATTAATCAGACTTTGGTATATCTGAAAATGAGAGGTGTAGAAAATAAGCATTGGTGCTCTTTTCTTTGCAATGACCTAGGAAGGATCATATCCTTTTAACTCACAGACAGGGTTTTGTAACTTGAAGATAGATTTCTATTCTCAGCCAGTTCTTGTCCTCTGTTACATTTAAGATGATGCCGTGATTTGACTTTGGTACCGATAATCTCCTCCACTAAGGGTTTAAAGCTCCACAGATGTCTTGTGGACATGGCCTTCTGGTAACCAGCTCTGATGGTTACAGAACATCTCCTTTGTAGGAGTTGTGGGTTTGTCCCTGGTATTGTGTTCATGTCTGTGTTCCCCTGATCCTTTGTTTCTATCTCTATTGGGTTTGTGTTTCTTTGGTGTCGTATTTATGTCTTGCATCTTCAATCTCTGTCTCTGGCATCTGTGATCACTCACAGGTGCCTTCACTTTGTCTGATTGGTATTTCCTGTATATAAGTCTGTGTCTCTGTGTTAATCTTTGTCCTGGCTGTTCACCGGTGATGTCCTGTCGATTCTGAGTACCTCCTGTTCATCCTTGTTTGCTTTTGCTGCCCCATCAGCTCTTTTGTTTTGTTAATAAATTCTTTATTTTATATATATCCTGAGTCCTCGCCTGCTTGCCTGCACAACTGGGTTCACCTGCACCAATTGTGGCATCCTTAAGTTTATCTTTCTACAAAAATACAAGTTGGGTTTTCCAGTCTCACTTTATACTAGGACCAGAAAGAAGGCAAGTGTTTTCCCATAATCTTAAATTTCCAGATTAAAGATAATTCAAGTTTATTTAAATTTTTATGTATTTTTCTTTCTTTCTTTTTGCACATGTTTTACAAGTTACTTCTCACCATACTTTCTGGCCACGTTGGGATAATAACAGGGATAATAACAGTCATTGTTGTGCAAAAAGACAACCATCTGTCAGTATATTTGTTATACTATTTTTATTCTATTAATAAAAACTCAAAACATAACTTACCGATACTGCTGCAGCAAAACTGTGCAGCGTTGTTTCCAAGTCTGGCAAATTTTAATCCAACCCAAACATCTGAAACTGTGAGCACTGGACCCGAGCAGTGAGGAAGAAAACAGTGCCGCCATTGCTCTTGAGTATCTCTGTCACTCTGAGTCAGCTACATGTATAAATAAACTTAGCAAGCTCTGAGCCAGCTTCATGCTTTAACAGACTTGTGTAATCATAAACTTTTACACACCTTCACTGAATTAATGTTTACACCAGTGGTGTCCGATCTAAGCCTCTGAGAGTCACTGTCCTGCATAATTTTAATGTTTCTTTGTTAAAACCCACCTGACTGGAATGAAAGGATGATCAATATCAGGACTTGAGGACATGCTGAAGATGTAAGTCACCCGCTAAAACATATTAGTGTGATCAGCATATATATATATATATATATATATATATATATATATATATATATATATATATATATTTCCATTATTATATATAATCCATTATTATATTAGTCTATCCATTCATCCATTATCTTTATCTGCTTCTTCATTATAATACTATTATTTTGCACTCTTCCATCTAATTAGGGTTAGGACGTTGAAGAGGTCATCAAGTCAGCCCATTCAGCATCTTATCCAGGACCCAGTGGTGTACCCTACCTTTGTCTACAAGTGCTACCCAGAGCTTCTACAGCATCTGTGGAAGATCCTAAAGGTGACTTGGTGAAGAGGAAAAGTCATCAACCAGTGTAGGTGTGCAGAGGGAATCTGGGTTCCCAAAGAGGCAAACTCAAAAAGCCAATTGGACAATCTCGCTGTTGAGCATGGAAGGGAAGGTGTTTTTCAGCATCATCTCCCAAAGACTGAAAAGAGTTTCTCCTCAGAATACTTACATTGAACCCTCTGTGCAAGAGGGTGGAATTCTTGAGAAGAGTGGACTGAGGTAGCTAACACGAGGAAGATCGCAAACAGGAACTAGTGGAGGAGTATAGGGGCAGGGGCTGGAGGACATTGTACTAGCCCAGAAGTATGATGCAGAGGCTTCACAGGTTGTTCTTTCTGCAAAGTTCTCAACCGTTTGGGTGTTGTTTGGGGGAGTAGTAGTAGTAGTAGTAGTAGTAGTAGTAGTGGTAGTAGTAGTAG